CCCCGACCCGGACCCCAGCACCCAGAGGCAGGAGGGGAAAAGCCGTTTTCCCGGCAGCGTGGGGCTCGGTTGGTGGTTTTGGGCGAGAGTCCTGGTAACCAAACGGGGCCTTTCAGCGTTTCTTCCCAGCTTAGGACTTTAGGTTTAGGGGAATAAGTTAGGTTTTCTTTTAAGCAGCGGCTGGTCCTGATCTGACATCTTAACAGTTGGGTGCCGGTGGGCTGGTTTTGCCCCAAAATCCTGCAAGCTGCCACCTTTCCAAAAAGCTGGATTTTTTCTATAGCCTATATCTTTTGGCTGCCAGTGGTGCTCTTTTCTCTTTCTTTTTCTTTTTTATTACGGTGAAAAATAGCTTAGTGTAAGTTTAGCAAGCCATGTGTGATTTACCATTGTGGTGTTCGGTACCCACCAAGTATTTGGGGAAGTTTTAGATTAAGATACTTGTTTGCAGTTAATTTATTCTGTGTTTTTTTGGTTGTTTTTCCCATTATGCCTGCATTTCACAGAGACTCTTAGCAATAAATATATGTGATCCTGTTGGTAAACAAGGCAGAAACTAAACCCTTTTGCTGCAGTCAAAAGATGGAGAGCAAACTTCAGGCTGTAGAGAAATAAACAGATAGAAACTGGGCAAATGCACAGACTGTATATTCCTGTGACAGACAAAATGACTGAAAATAAACCCGCAGCTATCAGAAGTGATTTAAACAACTGCAGTTTTCATTAATGCAAAGCAACTCAATTGTGTAAAGACCAATGATGTATCAGAATAAGGAAATAGTTGTGTTTTTTAAGTAGTCGTAAGGTCTGATTTTATTCTAATTACAGACAAATCTAGATACGTGTAAATCTCTGTAATGTGGAACTGCGTTTGACTTGGCACTGTAGGACTTTGATGTGCAGGAAATAAAAGCATGAAAAAGCTCTCGTGGTTCCCCCGTGAGATAGATGCTCGGGGCTCAGCCCTCCCCCTGGCTGGACTTTGCACCGTAGCGTTGCCCTGGGGTGGGAGCGATGGGCTGTAGATGTCACAGGAGAGTTTTCTGAGCACGATGGCCTCACAGAGTTGGGCTTTTCTGCTCGCTGATGAACACCTCATCAGGTGGCCCAGCCAGGGAGTGTTTTGTCTCCAGAGGTGCTGTGGGCTCGGTGCCAACCTGTGGCTCTCGCTGCCTGCGTAACCCGGCAGGCAGGCAGGGTCGGAGGGGTCACCATCAGCTGCGATCGGTGTGAAGGGTCCACAAGGTTTTCCGTGCCTGGGGCTGGATCCTGCAGTCTGTCAGGCCAGGGAGACCCGTTTTGGAAGCCGAGTGGTGCAGAGGGGTCTGTTTAACACTATTTCTCCACATTTCTGCCAGTGGAGCTGAGGAGGAGACCATGGGGAACTTGGCTCCCTGTGAGCCACAGTTGCAGCTCTGGGACTTGCATGGTTAGAAACTTTCCAGTGCAAAGCAATCGATCTACGGCCAAATCTGCAGAACTCAAAGGTGCTATTGCCCGGGCTGTCCATGAGCAATAATCATTTAAATAAACTCTGTGTATTAAGACAGCCTGTGGCTGCTGCATGCGGCCCTCTGAGGGGAGGTGGCTGCCTTTCCTCGGGCCATCCCTTCCCAGGCATCCTCCTTCTCTGGAGGAAGATTTGCAGACGTCTAAACCTGATTCCCCCCATTGCTGTCAGCCAAATTGCTTTTGTCCCGCTGTCTGGGGATGTGCAAAACAGATGTCTACAGCCTCTGGTGCCTACGACTGTCGTGTCCTCCCCCTCCGCTGTGTTTTCTTCTGACTGAACCAATCCAGTTTCTTCCCAGATGGTGTTTTCTAAACTTGGGGTTGTTCGTGTTTCTCTCTGCTGGGTTTTTTTGCAAAAAGTCCATATTTTATTGAAGATGTGTTGCCCAAAACCGGACTTGGGAGCAGAGCAGAGACTTGCTTCCCATACAGACATCGTTCCTGTGACTGTATAGCTCATCGTCCTCAAATAACACACCACCGCGGGCTGCGTGTGACCCATTGTATCCCCACAGCTTTCCTGAAAAAAAAAAAAAAAGTACTGCCCGTTCCCTGCCCTCAGTTTGTGCCATTTCTTGTTCCTACAGAAACGCACAACTCTGTGCATTTTTATTGGGCTGCATCTTATTTCATCCAGACCGGTTGCTCAGTTTGCCAAGTCCCTTCTCTGAATTGCAGCCACATCTCCCTGAGCGCCTGCAGGCTCTCGTGGCTTGGTGTCACCCGTGCCTCTGGTCAGCCTGCTCCTTCTTTAACACCCTCCAGGGCATCCAGGAGGATAGTGGGGAAACCAGACCCCTGACAAAGGCCCATCCAGCCTGGCTTCCACAGGAGAGCCCCAACCAGCATAGCTTAGCAGTTCATCTCCCCTAATGTCACTTATTTCTGTCCTTTCCATCTACCTTCATGCCCTATTATCTCCTATTTCTCTCCTTACTATCTATGATCATGCTGCAGGCAAAGAGTCCTTTGGCTTTTTCCCAGGGGTTTCTCCAAGGGGGAAGACACGGAGCCCATCCGTCTGTCAGTCCATCCCTTCCTGGGGCACAGCTCGAGGTGCACTGGGAGGAGGGTTTGGGTAGAGCTGGGAGTTTCTGCGGCAAGCACGTCCATGGCTTAGCACGATGTGCCATAAGGGCACTTCTGAAGATGTCCTGTGTATTGGCGTGTCTGTATCCAAACTTCCATGCCAGCACCCAGATATACATGTGCCGGCCGAATTCAGGTGTTTAATGCCTATAGAGGATGATGTATGTGAGCAGCATGGAAGTCCTTACTTTACTGCTCACATCAGATGCAGCGTTTCTGACAGCCGTGCTCTGACTTTGCAATTAATTAGCTCCTGGTAATCGGTGATTAAAGAATAGCTCTGCGGGTGGGCAGCTCACTGCTCCGTGGGGAGCATTAGGGAATCTGACTTTCCAAGGACCATGAAATCGCCTCAGATGATGTTGCACCTCCTGGTAGCCTCTTCCTTGGGGGAAGGGGGAAGGCTCCACCACCGTCCCTCTGCGTGCTGGGGTGCTTCTTTCTCCCCTGTCAGCCCCCAGAATTGCCAGCCCCACTGGCAAAAAGGTTCTGGGACCATCATAGCCCCCCAAAATTAAGAGGTGGTCCAGGGAGTCTGATGCAGAGGGAGAGAAGAGCTACTTCTGTGCTCTGACCCTCTGCAAGGGTTGGAGATGGGTTTTCTGCAGAGTTTAATGTCTATATGAAGTTGCATCTCTCTTCTGAAAGTATCCTTGCGGGCTTCGCCATCAGCATGGCTGTGTACCAAAGGCACATGCCCCCACAGATCAGGTAGACTTTTAACATGACATCACCAGAATGATGTGGTTTTGTGTTAAAATACAGTTGAGATTCAAGCCTGCCAGTCCCACGCTGGAAACAGAGGGCTTTCTGCTAATAGCTTTTAATTTTTTAAACGGAATATCAGTTTAAGAGGTCTCTGGTAGCAGGTTTTAGGACTGTTGTATGTCAGGACTTTTGGAAAACAACAAAGTTCATTCAGCCTGTCCATGCTCAGTAATGGCTTTTCCTTGGTGTTTGGTGTGGGGTTGATCTGCTGTGCAGCATTTGAGGAATTGCATTGAAACGCAAGTCCTGATGTGTCAGAGGACAGAGAACATGAGCAAAATGTAACATTTTGGAGCCGAAGCGAGTGGGGTTTGGCATCAGCCCGGGCAGTGGGCAGCAGGAGACTTCTGGCAGATGTAAGAATTGCCTTAGGGGACCAAACCAATGGTCCGTCTTGCCGTGATCCCTCCAGTGATGAGGTGTTGGTTTGGGAAGAGGTCTGTGATCCTTGACTTGCATCTGGCACTCAGCAGTATGGGCTTTCTGGACAGAGACTATCCACACTGCAGGATGTCCTCCTCAGATTGTCTCATCCCTTTCCAAAGCAAGTCTGGCCTCACACTTTTCAGTCAGATCAACCTAGAAAACCTTCGAGGTTGGCTACACTAGTGAAGGTTATTGGACGTGGCCATTGAAGGTTGTCCTCATGCTGTCTCTGGGGATGCTGAGCAGAGCACCAGCACCCTCAGCAGCCCCAGTGTGGCAGCGGAAGCACATAGTGGGTAGAAAATGGTGCAGACCCCCATTCCTCCTCCCCCTTGGTGGGCACGTTGAGCAGACAAACCCTGTCAGGGCAACCTTGCCACCAGCCATCACTCTTTGCCCTTGGGCTCCCCTGCACCAACAGCCGTGGGGCATCCCCCCCCGACTCAACATATACCCCTTACATCGACTTGGGAATGATCAAAGAGAGGGGAGGTGTTGCTGTTAATTTGTATTTAGCCCAAAAAAGACATTTCCCAAGCTGGCTCCATTCAAGGTGTGGGGTTTGGGGCTGAAACACTGGGTTTTCATTGTTACCGCACCTGGCGTGGGCTGAAACAGGGCTCCTGGGCATCTTGCTGGCAGGGAAGGGGACAAGGACTGATGGACAAGGGAATTATTGCTGGGAGTGGGGGGTGTGTGAGCTCTGTAGGCTAAGGCAGAGCTATTGTCGGGTTGTAGGTGCTAAATAAAGCAGGTCCCAATTTGGCACAGCATTTGAAGCCTTTAGGATGCAAAGCAAAAGTGTCATCATGGGCATGGTGTTGTGCTGCAGCACAGATATCTGCAGGGCTCCCCTCTCCCTTCTGGGGTGTCACCAGGGCCCTCGAAATCCAGAGTAGCTGCTGAGCAGGCTGGAGCAGGGGAGGCTTGTGTCCCTTTACTTTCCCCATGGAGAACACCCCATCATGGGGTCTGGTGGGGTTTTGCATGTTGCAGAGGAAGGATTCCCCTCCCAGGTCTCTCCCTGTGAAACCACATTGAGGTCAGAAGGATGAAAGTATTTTTGGGTACCCATCCAGCTGGGCACAGAGGTGCTACACTGCAGATAACAACTGGAAAGGAAGAAATCATTTCAGTCGGTGCATTTTGAGGTCCCAAGACATCCTTCTGAAACAGGTTGTGGGACTGTGATGGCACTTCATTTTTCCATGCTCAAAAAAAACCTCAACCCAAAACCTCTTTATTTCTCCTTAAGCAGTCATTTAAATTTTCAGCACATACCATCTTCCTTCACACCATAAATCAGTGTCTGCCATCTGCAAAACAGCCATTTGTTCGTCCAAAGCTCAGCCACGCCGTTAGCTTCGGCAGTTCCCACGTTCCTGGGGAAAGGGCAGTGAGGAGCTTGGCGTGACGCCGGCTCCCCGTGGGCTCATTCTCAGTGGCTCAGCCGCAAGAAACCCAACCTCTGAGGACGTGTCCTCACGTGGGAGCTGGTCCCTAGCCATAGCACTGTGTCCTCCACAAGGTCTGTGCGGTTCAGTAAGGTGCCTGAAGCACCGGCGGGATGGTGGAGGGTGCCTAATCCGCTCCTGGTGTCGCTGGTGATGCTGTTGCGCGTGGTTAAGCGGTGTCGTGAACTCCACAGGAGCTCTCATCTCCTTACCTTTGTGCTGCAGATGTCCCAGCCTGGTTGAAGAGCCTCCGGCTGCACAAGTATGCTGCCCTCTTCTCGCAGATGACGTACGAGGAGATGATGGCCCTCACCGAATGCCAGCTCGAGGCACAAGTACGTCCCACGTCACTCGTAAAGCCATCGGCCGCGCTCCTGACGCGTGCGCTGTCGGTAGATGTGATGCCTCCAAGGCCTCTTCTGTGTCTCCACATGGAAGGCGTTTTGCCCGCTGGTGGTTGGGAAGCAGAGAAAGAAAATCTGGGTCTTGGGGAGTGAAAAAACCCCACATTGTACCTGAAAAAGGCCTTGTCCCAGATTTCTTACTGGAGTCCCAGCGTGGAAGTCCCATTACTAGGAGCTGCCCTTGGCTTATTTTCCAGTTGGGATTAAGTTCAGGAGTTTCAAGGGCACAGTCTGCAGTACCCAACTCCTTTAAAATCAGGGGGGCTTTGATGGCCAATTGCCTTGTTAACGTTTGAAAATGGGTCCAGTTCAGATTTACCTCTGCATTACCCTCGGGGTGAAGAGGGCCAGTCAGCACCTTTGCTTTCACTGTGTGAGATGTGCCAGGGAGGGATGGACTAGCTGGAAATCTCTATCTTCAGCAAGTCTCTGAGTGATATTCTGTGTCCCTCGCTAATCCCTGTGCTCAGAAATTTGAGTAATTTATAGCAGCCCTTTTTGCTTTGGGGGGAGGAAGGATTTGGGTTGACCCAGCTGTCCTGTGGAAGTGTTAATGCCAGGTTTCTGCTGTTTTTGCAGAATGTTACCAAAGGCGCAAGACACAAAATAGTCATCAGTATCCAAAAGCTAAAAGAAAGACAAAACCTGCTCAAATCTTTAGAAAGGGTAAGTAATCACAACCACCTTTGTATTTCTTCTTTTTTTAAGAAGCCAGGAATTAATTCTGGGGTGGAGCGCTCTTTAGTTACACATGTTGTTGGGATTTTTTGCAGAGAAATCTGTTGTTGGCTTGGCCACATCTGACTGATGTCTCCAACACTTCTTTATCAGAAGCAGGCTTTATTTGGAGCTGTATTTTGCAGAGTGGGTCCTAATCCATCTCCAGCACTCACGTAGCTGGGATGGATGTGCCCTGCAGCACTGGTACAAGCCCTGGCCAGCTCCAGGGTGCTCAGAAACACCTGAGTTTTGAGTGATGGAGGGCACCAGCCCAGCAGCACTGATGGGAAGGTGGTCGCCCATCTGCTGAACCGTGGTGCAGGACCAGCTGTAGCCACACCAGCCATCACAGTCCTCTCGGCCACTGGAGAGCCAACTGGGCAGAGCCTTTAACCCCTGGTTGTCTCCTTTCTCAATGCCACTGTCCCTCTCATGAGACCCCTCCATGCACGGGGTCAGTATAGGGACCCCCAAGCCCTGCCTCTACCTCTCTGTCCTCAAAAAAGAGATGGGATTTCCCAGTGTCTGTCAGGTCGAGGACCACTGTGCTTTTCTGGAGCATCATATGGGCAACGTGTCCCCAGATAAAAAGCCATACACCCACGTCACTGCCTGAACAGCATCTTGAATTCCCAAGGAGAACAAACAGAAACTTCTTTGTCACTTCAACAAAAGCTTAAACTCTGCAGAAATGGCTGTCGGAGAAGCAGCAGCACCACAGACTTGCTGGGAGCAGCTCACCCAGCCTCTCACTATTTGTTATTGCAATATTATATTATATTTAATTGCACCGTCTTCACACAGCAACTTGCAGAGCCTCCCACTAGGGGCTTTTAAATACTCATGTGGTGTGTTGCTATTTATTGGTGTTTTTGTTAGCTCGCTGCTTCACTATTTATTTATAATATGGGATTGTACTCAAAGTATGGCAGGAGCTAATAAAGCCATATTTACCTCCGTATATTAATAATAACTATTAAATCCAAGAGACGGCCCGTTGGATTGGGCTTGCTTCGGCGATATGTTTTCCAGGCGATTGCACAGCCTCTTCCCCCGCTTCTCCTCCTGGGTTTTGAAATACGGTATTGATTGACTGGCACGGTGCGGGAGCTTAAGCTTGGTTCAGCTGACGCAACCAGCCACGCAGGCTGTAAAATACAGGAGATAAGGGGCAGGGACTGCTTTGGAGCCCTCGCGGGGTGGGTTTGGGCTGCGGGGATGTGACCGTGTCCCACTTCGCTGGGCCTCAGAGCTGCCTGTGAGCTGCTTTCCTTGGGAGGAGACGTCTCTGGTTTTCCAGGCTTCCCGTCCAATTTCTTTTTGCTAAACAAGAGCATGTGTGGGACTTACTGGTTTTGGGCAGTGTCTCGCTGCTAAAGATTGCTGCTTTCTTGGAAAGAGCTGCTCCACCCCTCTCTGCTGGTTAGCAGAGCAGGATTTTTTCCCCAAGAAATAGTGCCCAACAGGCTCACGCCAGGTCTTCAAGAGGAGTAGAGCTGAGAAGAATTAGGGTGAACAACCTTTTCAGGGCTGCAGCCTGTGTGCCCACTTTGTGTCTCTTCCCTAGGCACAGCCAGGACTCGCTCACCCCTAAAGCTGCCGCTTTCCAAGCAGCATCTCATGGGCCAGACTGTGCAATGAGGTGTTCTGATCCAGGCTACGTTAAAACCAAAATACAATTATTTCCCATCAGTGGGATGAGGATCTGACCATAGAAAGGGAGGTCTTGATCCACTCTGTAACCAAGAGCAAGGCTGGGGGTGTAGCCGAATTCTCTCCCTCCTGGGTCGATCTTCCCCAGGATCTCCAAGCTGAATGTTTGTGATCCAGGGGTGTAAGTTCACCTGAAGCCTTGTGCTCTCCCTTTCTGTGTCCGACCACAACCCACCCTGCTCCCCTTGAAACCTTCCCTTTCCCCTCTGCATCTGCTCCCACAGCCCGTCCCAGTGTGGACGAGGATGTCCCCACTTCGCTGCTGCAGGATGGGCCCCTGCGTCCCAGCGTGGTCCTGGGCTCTGTGATGGGCCCAGGGCGTAAGGATCCTCGGGGAAGATCTTTGGGGCAGAGTAGTTAATGGAGAGCCAGGCTTGAAGGCAGTGCTGGAAACTGGAGCCAAGCCCACGTTAAAAAGTGTAATTCCATTTAAATAGAGCTGAAATGTCACAATTGTGGGATTGCTGGGGAAGGAGCAAGATGCTCACTGGTCTGGGCATTGACAGGCTCAGTCGCTCTCATGGATTTGCATCTTCCTGATGGAAATTTGCAAAGACTGAAGCTGGATTATCACTGGTTTGGGGTCCCAGTTGTTGACGGCACACGTTTATCTCTGGGGATTCAGGTCTGAACACGTCCCTGGCTAATCAGACATGTTCCCTACAGCAGGTCCACACTCCCCTGCTCTAAGCAAGACATGGTGAATGAGCCACGGCTGTTGACTAGGAACTGCAGGGGGCTCCTAGAGCAGGATTTTCTGGGGTGTAACAGTAGGAATCTGATCTGTAGCCGATGTCCTGTTGTCCCTGCAGAGACAAACCCTCTTCTCTCCACTTGAATCCACAGGACATCCTGGAAGGTGGCAACTTGCGTGTCCCGCTGCAGGAACTACACCAAATGATCCTCACCCCCATCAAAGCCTACTCTTCCCAAAACTCGAGCACGGAGGAGCACAGTCGGGACGCGGACTCGCATCACCCTTCCTCCCTGCTCGGCTCTGACAGCCAAGGCTCTGACTGCAAGGACTCTGCCGCGGGGGGGATGCAGCAGCACCATTTGCCGGGATGCGAGGGCGAGTCGGGGGGGGGCCCTTTGCCCGAAGGTGACCTGCCTGGACAGTTCACCAGAGTGATGGGGAAAGGTGAGAGGCTGTCGCTTCTTACTGGCGTCCTCGCTGGGGATTGCTGCTTTGGGGCAGGGTGCGTGCGGTGGTGGCCTTGGCAGCAGCCTTTCCCCGAGCCCCTGCAAGCCGCAGTCCTGGGGGTGGTGAGTTTTTGAGGCCACATCATGCTGTGGTAAGAGGTAAGAGCGTGAGTGGGGAAGTGGGCAGTGATTTGGGGGATGGGACAGGCTGCCTGCCCCAGGTCAGAAGTCAATGGCATCCTCTCCCCAGCTCAGGGACAGATAACAGCCTCTCCCTTCCCATTCAGAGCCCTGGGAGCATCCCACCAGTCCAGAAGTGTTTTCACCAGCATCCCTTGGACTTGTTCTGCTTTTGTGCGGGTAGCACTGGTGCGTGGGCTTAGTGTGAGCTGTCCTGAGTGCAAATCAGCTGGATCAAAGCCTCTCTTTAAGCCCCAATTTAGATAGACATCCAAAACACTTGGGTGCCTTTCTGTGGCTGGTGCAAGGGTGCACGGCTTTGCCTTGGGATTAACGCAGTGTGAGGTGCAAGGAGCAGTGTGAGGTAGGGACCAACGCCCTGTGCCATGTACAGGGCTCGTCAAGCAAATTTATATGAGCTTGGAAGTGTCCTAACTCAGCCCGATGGGATCTGAGCTGTCGGTGCTGGCTGCATGGAGGGAGATCTCCCTGGGGAAGAGGGGAGGGGAGTCTCATCTGCAGGCTCACACAGGAGACCATGAATAGAAAGAAACTCATTGGGGTGCCACGAAGAAAAATCAGCTCTATTTTAGACCTTATTTTTTAAAAAAAATAGATGAGGTGTTTTCTATATAAAAACTTGGTGCAGAATTTCCCACGGGCTAATTGACTGCATGCACAGACAAACGTGGGTTTCTGGCCCCGTTTTAAACCCGCTGATGGATTCGGCTTGTGACAAATGCCTCCGTCACGCACGAAGCTGGACGTGTGGCACAAGCCTTGCCAGGACGAGGTGTCCTCCTCGACCACAAGGCATCTGTGCCCGGGGGCTGTGACAGGAGAGGGTCATTCCTCTGTGAACTCATTTCCACTTGCTTTCATGGCATTCATTCCAAAAGAGGTTAAAATCCATAGGGGAAGGTGGGAATTTGCAACAGGGGCATATTGGGGCTGTAGGAGCAGGAGCTCTCCCAGAACTAGCTCTTGCCTAGGAACAGGGAATAATCCTGTGCCCCTGATTTGCTCAGGCCTAATTTCGGTGACTCCAGTGGTGTTAATTTGGATTTACACCATCAAACAGAGAACAAAATCTGACCCTAAATATAGGACAACACAGCAGAAATTGGGGAAGGATGTTTTTTCTTGCTGATGAGAAAACCTGCCCATGGAACAAGGGAAGTGGGTTCACTGGACCCCAGTTCGGTGTCCCCATGCCCATTTCTCTTCTCTTTATTTTTTTTTTCCAGTATGCACACAACTTTTAGTTTCCCGACCCGACGAAGAGAATATAAGTTCCTATTTACAGCTCATAGACAAATGTCTAATCCACGAGGTGAGTCCTGACGGATAATCTAAAGCTGTTGTTCTCATCACTTAGAAACTGTTTCCAAAGTGTCTGTTTATGTAAACCTTTTGGTTTCTAACACAAATATTTTTGGGGGTATTAATAGTAATTCTGACAGAACAGGGCTGGAGCGGGCGGTAGCTCCAGCGTGGTACGTGGAAATGTTGTTTCCCCCCTGATGCTCATGTAATTGCCAAGACCTGAAGCTGAGAAATTCATCTGGCTCGTGACAGTCCGATCAGCAGCTGGGTGAAAGAAAAAAATCCCAGGATGAGTGTGCAGGCGGTTTCTATCAGACCCGGCGATCCCTTGGCGTTGCCGCCTCCTGTTCAGCAACACGTGGACTTGGGATTTTGCAACGGGAGCAGCTGGTTTTGCTCCTGACAGAGGATGACTTGGGGTGGCCGAGGCTGTGCCGTGGGGGCTCCGGCACACTCCTGCCCCGGCGGTAGGGGGGGGATGGCCGGGAGGCAGCCCCGATGTCCTGCAGCATTTCGTACCCATGCTAGCTGCACCTGGAAAAACAAGCTGCTTCTCATCGCCTGCCCATATGGCAGGGGTCGGGGGTAAATTGCACACCCTCTCATAGGAGCTGCAGGCTTTAAATATTTCCCAGTTATTTGTTTATAAAAAAAATAACACTGTCAAAGCACAGAAGAATCTCCTCTGGAGAGGGCTGGTGCCTGCAAACCCCAAAATGTGCTGCACGCTGCGTGGAAGAGGAGAGAGGCAGCTCACAGCCTCTGGCCTTGCAGCCGAAGCCGATGCTTGAGCCGTGCTTGTGCAAAGGTTTGATCCGTGTGTCTCTACAGGGCCAAGCACGTCTTGAATTGGAGTGAAATTGTTGGGTACCGGGCAAAATGCAAGTGCTTCATCCTCTTTTTTTTTTTTGAACTGTGCTCCTGGATGCCTCTGTCGATCACGGTGGGGGGATTCAGTGTGTTTTTCTGGCAGCTCCTGCAGTCTCAACCAGTATTTGGCCCTGTGGAGTACAGGGTGGTGGCACCCACTGTTGGGGTTTGCTGCGAGGCAGGTTTCGAGCTGAGGGTGTAGTCTTCTCAGTGCTTTAGGGGCTGGAGGGGAGAGCGTGTCTGCTCCTACTTGCTCCCCCCTTAGAGAGCCTGGAAATGGTGCCTGGACTCTCTGGAAGGCCGAGCAGGAGAGCAGAGATGTGAAGAGTGAGGATGGTGGGAGCAGCTGCCCGGGGCTGGAGGCAAGAAGACACAGAGCTGCGGAAGGGCTCATTTTCCAGGAGCGCCCGGGGTGGCTGTGGTGACGCATCATCACCCCACCGGTGGCAGTCTGTGTCCCAGGATCACCGTCTGCATCGGCTCCGGCGTAATCAGCGCTGGGAGAGAGCATCTCCTCCGGAGGGTGCTTCGGAGCAATCAAGTCAGGCACTAATTAGCCTCCAAATCATCCTCTGGAGACCTCCGCCGGCGGCGCAGAGACGTTGGGTGTCTAAAATTAGCTGTGGTGGGCACATGGGTGTCCCCGTAACCCACACCGTCTGCCTGGAGGTGTGGGGTGCTCTGGGAGGAGGTCTGTCCCCTGTGTGGGTGACCTTCGGTGGGACCCGGGCGGGTGACAGGGCTCACCCCGGGTGACCTCCCGCAGAGGCTGTCAGCGCCCAGACCAGAACCAAGCTCTGCCCAGCCCCAAGAAGGAGATGCGGGATGCCATGGAGCAGCTCCGCCTTCCAAATCCCAGCTTGGCAGCGTTTTTTAGAGCCACATCCAGGTGATGAGTGTCACCACACAACAGGGACCAGCCATCAAACCCCGTGGGGAGCTAGGGAGGATAGTGGGGGAGCTTTGGGGAAGCCCTGCTCAGCCCAGGGGGGCTGGCAGCCTCGGGGGCAGATCAGGCCCTCACTCTGAGGCTCAGGGGACGCTGCCAGAGCATTTTTTTCCACCTGAGATGAATAAATCCTTGAGACAGACCAGGGTTTCCCTCTGGACTTGCCGATGGGGCTCAGCTCACACCACCACCTGCTCTGGCTGCTTTTCTTCACACACACCCCCACATACACATCCCTGCTTGCTTTGTCCAGAAAAATATTCATGTTTCTTATTTTTCTCTTCTTATTTTTTTGGGCAGGCGTTTACAGAGATCCAGAAGAAGCGGCTGCTGTCATGGAAACAGCAGGTGCAGAAACTCTTTCGGTCTTTCCCTCGGAAATCCCTCCTGGAGCTGTCAGGCTATCGGCAGCAGAGGAGGTATGTGGCTTTTGGGGAGGGAGGGAGGGAGGGAGGGATGCAGCAGCCAGAGGGGAGTGGGACCAGTGTCTCCCAACAGGGAGGGATGGATCCTGCCAGGTTCAGTGTCGCATTTTGGAACGGAGGAAGGTTGGAAAAGCTTCAGCAATAAAACCAGGTGTTGGCTGGGAAGACAAAGCAGCACTAACTTTCCTTGTGTGTGTGGTCGGTGCCTACCCCGGCAATTCCCACCACAGCTCCCTGGCTCCAAACCCAGCGATTCCCAGCTGCACAGTGTATCCCCGGCACTGGGCGGCCAGCTCTGCCCCCGCCTGCCCCCCTTTGCTGATTACATCAGCACTGGAGTTTCACCAAAAAGGTGTCAACTGGCAAAAAAAAGGCTTGAAGCCTGCAGAGCCGGGGGGCTGTGGTCAGCAGGCCTGGGTGGGGATGTGTTGCCAACACTTTGCTCACTTCTACAGTGATGCTGGATTTCGGGTGATCCTAGAAAGCTTTAGGGTTATGGCAAGAACAGATATTTTTAGATCCGTTTTAACAAGAGCGTCAGCCTTTTGTTTCATTCTGCTAAGCCTGTTTTATTGCAGTCTTGTGCAAGTTCTTTTTTTCTGAAAACGAAAGGGGTTTGGAGATAACCGGGAGCGTTGGGACAGCAAGGATGTGAGTTCAGAAGTAACAAGCACAGAACCAGAGTGTTCCCCAGTGGAATTAAATGAAATATTTTAGAATGGGAAAACAAGTGATTTTGGTGTTCGTGGCAGGATCAGAAGCAGATTAGACACGAGCTAAGGTCTTTGTTGGACCCCTTTGGTCTGGGCTGTATCCAGTACATGTACATCTTTCCAGTGCAGTGGTTTAGCTGCACATCCAGGCTGACCCCAAGCACAAGGTAGAGCTGCTGGCTTGAAATAATGCCAGTCCTTTTCCCGGGGCTGCCCAGGGTGCTCTCCAGTTTCCTTGCTGCTTTCAAGCCGTTTTCATTTTTCATTTCTTCTGCTCCCGTTCCTGGGAAGTTGGGGGCGAGAAAGGAGCACGTGGCCAGTCCTGCTTTTCTCATGGGGATTGAATGGCAAGAGTGGGTTTTGGATGGGGTTTAAAGAAACCCCGTTGTATTTCTGCCTAGTAAATGTATCCAGTTTGGGGATCCCAGCATGTTAATGTTGTCTGAAGTGTGTTTGCAGCCACCCACACAAGCAGGAGAGATGAGGGCTGGGAGGAAGGTGAGCTGAAGCATCTACGAGGGTGATTTAAGTGCTGGAGAAGGGCAGGGGGGGACAGGGGGAAGCTGTGGGTTCACAGAATGCTCCTACCCTTAAACCTGATAACGGTGTTGCAGCCCTGCTGCAGACAAGCCAATGTTGCACAGCAAGGAGACCTGCACTGTGTGTGTTTCCAAGGATTACCTGATGATTTTTGAGTCATTTCTTTGGTTTTAAATGGCAAAAACCCACATGGGGAGGGGTGCTGGCGTGTGCAACTCTCCTCTCCAAGGAGTAAAGATGGTTTTGTGTCCTGAGATCAATGTCTCGGGATGTTTGGGCTGCGTGGTCTTGGGTCCAGATGGTTTTGCTGTGACTGCAGGGAGCTGGGTGGAGGTTTGCAGTGCAGAGACAGAAGCAGGTGCAAGAGCCCGTCCCACCTCTGCAGGAACGTGCCTTTCACTCAGCCTCTCCCTAGGAAATCTTGGGCTCGTGAGGTCGTTTTAACCAAGTTTTTACAGAACTTGAGAAGTCTCAGAGAGGACTGTGTAAAAATGAACCTCCCGGAAGGGGAGAAGGTCCAACCCTTCAAGCATTCCCAGTAAAGAAAACCCAACAGCGTGAGCTGAACCTTTATCAGACACTAGAGAAAATCCACACAGGAGAGATCAGTGCTCAAAGGCATGAAGAGTTTAAGTCAAACCCCAAGAAATCAGGCATCACCAGCTCCAGCGCCCGGGGAATTGCCTGTGTTATTTTAGCTTGCCTTTAAGAGCAGGCCCATTCTGCAGGAGTAAAACTTCTAAAAAAAATTAAACGTGAGTCTGAGAACTGCAGAGGGAAGGGAGGGCGGCTGGCGGGGGGGAAGAAGGAAGGATGCTGCTGTGCTGTGCCCAAACCTCCTCCTTCCCGCTGCACGTGCAGGCCTGGGGGACCAGCAGCAGCAGGGTGGGAGGGTCGGTGGCCGGGGCACCCTCGGGACGTTTGCCTGTTGGTCCGAGCGCCCAAACCAGCCGCTCACCCCCGCCGCACCGTCCCCCTTGCAGGGGCGACTTCTCACCCTCGGCGCTTTCTCTCTCCGCAGCCGAGGCTTTGGCCAGTCAAACTCCTTACCGACAGCCGGATCTGCAGGGGCAGGACTGGGCCGGCGAAACCCCGCCAGTTCCAGATCCCCTCCCGCAACCTCCCCACTGCCCGGCTGGGGCTGCTGGGCCCCAGTGGGCTGCTGGGCACCCCCCAGCGCAGCCCCGCCGCCAGCCCCGCCATCCTCAAGCAAGGCAGACAGGTCAGTCGGCGTTCGCGGCATCTCCAGCTTTTCCATCCCTGCCCCACAGGCTGCTTTTGGGTTTCCTCCTCTGGCCAGCAGGGACAGGGAAGGGATTTGAGCCCTGGGCTCGGCACTGGCGAGGCCGCCCCTCGATTCCTGGGTTCAGTTTTGGGCCCCTCACCCCAAAAAGGCCATTGAATGACTCGAGCGTGGCCAGAGAAGGGCAACGGAGCTGGGGCAGGGTCTGGAGCACAGGTCTGCTGGGGAGCGGCTGAGGGAACTGGGGGGGTTCAGTCTGGAGAAGAGGAGGCTGAGGGGAGACCTCCTGGCCCTCGGCAACTCCCTGCCAGGAGGGGGCAGAGAGGGGGGATGAGTCTCTGGAGCCAAGGAGCCAGCGGCAGGCCCCGAGGGAATGGCCTCAAGCTGCCCAGGGCAGGGTCAGGCTGGCTCTGAGGAAGGATTTCTGTGCAGAAGGGGCTGTTGGGCGTCGGAATGGGCTGCCCAGGGCAGGGGGGAGTCCCCGGGATCCCTGGAGGGGCTGAAGAGTCGGGCTGAGCCAGCGCTGAGGGATCTGGGGGAGTTGGGAATGGTCAGGGGGAGGGTCATGGTTGGGCTGGAGGAGCTTCAGCGTCTTTTCCAACTGAGATGATTCTGGGACTTATCTGCATCCCTTTTTTTCTCCATTTTCGGGTTGTGCTCTCCTGTGTGCGGTGGGATGCAGAAGAGGGACTGGCGGGAGGGGGGAAACCAAGAGGCGAAGAGGGGAGAGATGAGCCCAAAGGAGTTACAAATACACAGCACAGAGGCCTCCGTTTTACAACACACTCCCCTTTTTTTGTTTGCTTCCTGCAGAATCTCTGGTTTGCCAATCCTGGGGGCAGCAATAGCATGCCCAGCCGGAGCCACAGCTCGGTGCAAAGGACGCGCTCGCTGCCGGTCCACACCTCCCCGCAGACCATGCTGATGTTTCAGCAGCCAGGTAGGACACAGACATTTGCTTTTTTGCTTCCCCACAGCCCGGCGAGATGAGGGGAGGCTGCGTGAGAGGAGCCGTGTCAGTGTCAGCCCGGCTGTCACCCCCCGAGCTGGGGATCTCTGACACTAGTCGGGTTATTGGGCTGATTGAACCAGAGACATCACTGGAGGGATTTTCACCCTCTATATAACATCTTGACCCTCTATAGAACAGTGCTGGTGCTTTTGAGGACCTTTGTGTCAGGCAGGGGAAGGAGACAGCTCCTCCATCACCTCTTTTTGCTCACGCCTGGACACGGCGACCGCGGTGCAGAGAGACTCTGCCTTCATGCACTCAAGGGAAATTCTTTTCACAACGTGTGGAGGGAAATGGTGCTGTGTTGGTGCTTCCTCCACAGATACCACAAAGCTGTGCCCCTGTACAGAACCATCCTCTGATTCAGGGTGATTCCTACTGAACTTGGACCCTGGACCAGGAGCATCCTTCCCATGAGGACACTGATGATTTTTTCTCTGTGTATCCCTTCATTAGCCTTTAAGTGTGCCTTTTCTTACCAACACACCGTAACAATTTATACCTCAGGACAGGGAGTTACACCACCCCAGCCCCCAATAAACTAAACCTCATCCATAAGCTTCTGCTGTGGTTTCAGCATGGCAGGTCCCCTCACATCACACACCCGCGGTCTTTCAGCTGCTAAATTTCAGTGGCAAACGTCCTGTACAGCAAAAGCAGCGTCTGTTCTTGGGTATCGATTAAACCCCAGGACAAGGGCACATTTCTGCAGGCGCTGAGGGAGAATAAATAGGTTTTTCTTTGCGTGTTAGCCTGCAGTGAATGAGGGCATAGGAGGATTAGAGAGCCAAAGATGTGGACAGCATCACAAGGAAAATGGCAATAACGCAGAGCTGAGCTCCTGAAATACTTTTCATTGGGCTGTGGGGATCTCAACCCTCCTGGACCTCATCCCATGTCCCCACAAGCTGGTGGCAAGCTGGAGAAGGCGGCCGTCAGTAGCAAAAGCTGTATTTGCAAGGCTTTTTGCTGCAAAGGGAAGGGCATTTTGGTGCTGTATGGATCAGGCCGGGGCGTTGCAGCACATCGAACTTCATCCTCCCCGTTTGTTTGTGCTCACCCCACTGGGGACGTGGCAGCGGGGCGGTGGGTGACGGGCAGTGGAAGAGGCGGTCGGCGGCTCTGCTGGTCTGTGCTGCCATCCCCCGTCTGAGCACTAACCCTGCCTGCACGCTGCCTGCAATGGCAGCTCCCGGCCCCGCCGCTCCCCAGGGCCGCTGGAATATTTCACATGTATCGAGGATTCTTGTGAGGCCAGAGCAAAGGGAAAGCCCGGGGCTGCCCCCTTCCAGGCCAAGGATCTTGTCTCCCCCCTACCCAGCATTTCCAGCACTTCAACCCCTCATTTCTGTCCGTCTTCTGCTGCAATGCCACCGAGTCTCCCAGATTTACCCCTTATCGATAAGAATGGGGGAGTGATGACTATCATTTTTACAAACATCTCTTTTTGGAGGTGATTGCTCAGGGGAGCAAAATGCTGCCAGAGTCCGGCCATGATGTCAAGACCCTCCTGGGGCACCTTTTGGGTGGTTTTTTTACCCCACCTGCACCCACACCGGTGGCAGCAGAGGGGACAGGGGGTGTGGGGCAGGCAAGCAGGGTCCCTGCCAGGTCCCCTGACCGAGGTCTCCTGTCTCTTTGTCCCTGCAGAGTTCCAGGTGCCGGTGACTGAACCTGACATCAACAACAGGCTGGAGTCCCTGTGCCTGAGCATGACGGAGCACGCGCTCAGCGGTGAGCACTCCCTCCTCCTCGGGCTCTTCCAGCACATCCACGCTGCCTCCGCCGAGCCCCCCAGCACCTGCCCCTGCCCCGCGCCCCCCAAAAGCTGGGACAGGCTGTGGCTGTGAGGGGACAGGACGGCGGCAGGGCTGGATGCTCCCAGGGATGCTCCCAGGAGGGGTCGGACGGGAATATTGGCTTCCCTTGGCGAGATAGCCGGGGCAGGGGGTAAAACCAAACGCAGGGATCACACCCAGCACTAGTGGAGTCTGTGCTTATTAGCCACTAGTTAGCTTGCTAATAATAATTAGTATTAGCTCGCTGGTCTGTTACTAGTTCCCGATAAAGCCCTTGCCACCGCCGTGCTCAAATGGTTCACAAGCTTTGGAGTATCTTACCCTTCTGCCACCGGCGTCCCTCGTTTGGCCGGGGGGTGCGTGAGCTCCAGGGCACGGGGCTAGAAACCTGGGCTGCCAGACAGTGCTGGGAGCTGCTGTGCCGGCACCACGGGTGGCTCCTTGCCCACGCCTGGGGTTGGCTGTGGATAACGGGCACGGGGAGGGAGGAGAACCAGGCAGCAAAACAGGCAGACAAGGTGGAAAAGGCAACGGCAGCGCAGTGGAGAGCCCGGTGCAGCAAAAAGCACCAGCACCGCAAGCACCCGCTGCCCCTCGTCAATGCACTGGACCCCCAAGGATGAAGGATGGGATGAGCATGGCCACCGGCATCGCCCAGACCTTCCCGAATAACCACCTCGGGTCTCAGCCCCCGGCAATCCCCGGACTGCGTGGAACGGTTGAGGACAGGAGCCCTCGGGGAGGATGAGTGCCACCAGGCTCCCTGCAGCGATGTGACAGCCCGTCCAGGGGAGAGGGACACAAGAGCAAGGACTGTAAGAGGCAGCAGGGCCCTGGCAGCGCCACGGCAGCATCCCCGGCCGGGAAAACAAGGACACTTCTGTCACCCGAAGCGTTTCTCCGGCGTGTGCCCAGGCGAGGCTTAGCTGTCTTGTTCCTCTGCAGGGTACTGTTCCTCCGAGTTATTTTTTTCCAGGTCGCATACCCCAAGCCTCTCGAAACTGGTTGTGCTATAAATAGCTCTTAAAAAAATAAACCTTTCGGGAGAGAAAAAAAAAAAAAAAAAAAAA